AGCTGCAGCCAGTCAGTGTAGACAATACTAGATGGACCAATGATCTGACTTGGTATAAGGCACCTTCCTATGTTCCTATGCCATAGCCCAAATCCAGTTCTAGTTGTTCACAGTGACGTGTGACCAGTGGTCCATCAGGATGGCACGCTTGTATAACCATGTTCAATGGAAACCCAATAAGCATTGCATTGTTCCCCCAGCTAGGCTACACCCATAGAGTTCTCTTGCTAGATCAAGGTAAGCAATTTCAGAAAGGATGCTGCCAAAGGGAAAATGTGCTTTGTCTTTCAGGGCACCATCGGTATTGGCATTCTGCCGACTCTTGAAGACACACCTGCATTCCCTTGACCTCCTGACCCTCTTAAATTGCTTTAACTCTTTTGATTGTGGAGCTGTTTGAATGGGCTTGTTTTATTGTCTGTTTTAATTGTGGATCTTTGTTTTAATGATTTTATGAAATTGGTTTATTTTGTGTTTTAATTACACGTGTTTATATTATTTGCAATTGGCCTTATACTTGTAAATTTGTTCCTGCTCATTTTTAACATGTGTTTTGTGTTCTCGTTTTGTATTTTTACGTTGTGAACCGCCCGGTGATCTTCGGATGAAGGGTGGTAGACATATTAAATAAATAAATAAATAAATAAATAAATATGTCTTAGACACCTCCTTGGCAATTGAGCAGTACATCATTTATATTCTCTTCCTCCGCTCTTCCTCTTCCTCCTCTTCCTCTACTTCTTCATTCAGGTTCTGCCATGCTGGTTGGCCAAGGCTGGGAAGGAATTGTCTGTTTGAGTTTGCCGAGGCCAAGAGCCGGGAGGAAAGCAAACTGTTTGCATAGCACTAGCAAGGCAGAGCCGAAGGAAAGAAGTTGTTGTAGATAATCAGGATTGGTCCAGGTCACCCAGCAGTGATTAATGGGCAGTGGAATTACAAATATGATCATGCACCTGCTTGACACAGACCAAAAGATGGATTGCTAAACGGTCTGTGCAAAATTAAAGGATGATGAGAGAGGGAGGAGAAAGGGAAGGGATGTTGAGTGGGGCCGAAGCAAGTCCATCTATATTTCAATGTGACATTTCCATTGCTCAGAAGAGAGAAAAACCAATTCCTGAATTTCCACTGGTTTGGAAGAGGTGGTGCATTGGTGACAGTGATAGGGAAATTATCGCTCTTTTTGTAGGAAAGAGAAGTGGCTGACTAGTAACTTAATAACTTTCATTTGCAGCTCTTATATGGAGCAGGGAGCTGTCTTTAGTCTCTTTTCGAAGGCTGCCTTCCGTGCCTCTTTTGTTTGCATGCCACGCCAGTGATGGAAAACCCTGGATTTCAAGCTTGAATTTAATAAGGAGAACGATGCGAAACTTGACTTGATGATGAAGTTAGAGGCTGCTTAGGCAGCTGGTAGGTTAGGAAAATAACATTTTTCAAGTGCTTTGCCGGCACAGAGACCTATGAATAGCTTTAGCCTTATCTACGAGCTGACAAAACTTAGCCTAATAAGCCCTGGACTTAATTAGAATGCCGCAGTGATGAGCCTGACATTTCAGATGGGATTGCTACTAAATGGAATAGAGTATTTGATTTTGATTTTAAAAAAATAATGGTTGAGAACAGAGAAATGTCTATAAATAAAACTTCTGCTTGCTATTTTGGATTCCCAAAGAGAACTAGGGCAGGTACGAGCATACCGTATACCATAAAAATAGAAAGCTTAGGAATGCAGTTCAGAGCACACCTTAGTCCCTTTTCAAGCAGGCACAGTTAACCACTCCCTCAGGGTTTTTTGAGAGTGTCATTGACCATGTGGAGAGGGCAGTAGCGGTCAGCAGGGCATCATCGCTAACCTGACCTCCCGTCATCAGCAACACTGAGAAGGAGAGGCAGCAATGAGGTCAGCGCAAAGCCAACCCAGCACTCCTGCTGGTGTGTTTGCACTGCACTGAGCTTCCCATTGCCTTGCCCCTGTCCCTTTCCCTCCCAGTAATCCACAGCAACTCCAATGATAGCAGGTCAGGTAAGCACCACAACAACTATGACGGGGTTGGCGGGATCAAAAAGAAATTGTGCCAACAAAAAAGACAAATTGTTAGAGTATATTGAACTGGCCAGATTAAGAGAGGCAATTAGCAATCACACCAGACAAGAGTTTCAAAAAGCATGGGGGAAATGCAGAGAATACTTCACAAAACAGTGCCCTAAAATACATACCTGGACTTGTTTCGATTAATGTCTGCAGGAGACTTTGAGGATATTTAAGTTATAATTAGAAAAATCTTAATAATTATCCATAAAGGAAACAGCTTATAAGAAGTAAATAAGCATCTTAAAAAGCAGAGACATCACCTTGCCAACAAAGGTCCGTGTAGTTAAAGCTATGGTTTTCCCAGTAGTGATATATGGAAGTGAGAGCTGGACCATAAAGAAGGCTGATCACCGAAGAATGGATGCTTTTGAATTCTGGTGCTGGAGGAGACTCTTGAGGGTTCCATGGACTGAAAGAAGATCAAACCTCTCCATTCTGAAGGAAATCAGCCCTGAGTGCTCACTGGAAGGACAGATCCTGAAGCTGAAGCTCCAATACTTTGGCCACCTCATGAGAAGAGAAGACTCCCTGGAAAAAACCCTGATGTTGGGAAAGATGGAGGGCACAAGGAGAAGGCGACAACAGAGGACGAGAAGCTACCAGCATGAGTTTGACCAAACTGTGGGAGGCAGAGGAAGACAGGAGTGCCTGGCGTGCTCTGGTCCATGGGGTCACGAAGAGTCGGACACGACTAAATGACTAAACAACAACACCAACAACAAGGAGGCCAGATACAGGATAAAGGAAGTCTCTTATTTGGTTGTTTATATTGTTGTATGTTATGCTTATTGTATGTTATGTTCACGTTTAATGAGGGTGGATTTCTGTATTGGGGTGGGGGGTTTATAATATGTTATAAATAAAATTTCTAATAAAAAAATGAAAAATCAAAAAGCCCTCTTCATACAGCACACAGTTAATTTTTGGAATGTGCTCTCAGAAGATGTAGAGATGGACACCAACTTGGATGGCTTTAAAAGAGATACACGGAGGGTAACCAGTGGCTACTAGTTCTGGTTGCTGTGCACTGCATACAGTCTCGGAGGCCGTATGCTTCTGAATACCAGTTGCTGGAAATCATAAGGTCCTGCTTTAAGGTGTCCCAGAGGTATTTTGTTGGTCATTGTGAGAACAAGATCATGGACTAGATGGGCCATTGTTTCTGCAGGACTTTTCTTTGCCTCTTCTGTTTAACTCCGGTGTGTTTGGATGAGGGGCGTCTTATGTAATTAATTAATAAAACACAAAGAGGGCCAAATGATGTCCAAACTGCTAAAAAGGAGGATTCCCCTATCACACATAAACACACACCTTTGGCTTGGCAATGATTCCCATTCCTTCCAATGAATATTTTATTGAAACCTTATATTAATCACACCGTCACCATGCTACCTTGCCCGCGGTTCTCATTATCCATCGCAGCCTTAAATATCTCTAATTAAAAAAAAACTTCTCTTCGGAGCTGAGCCGATACCTGTGTGATTGATGGGGTCTGACTGGTGTGGAAAATGCGTGGGGCGACTTTAAGACCCCGCCACCCTGCGAAAAGGCACAAAAAGGTGCCCTGTCAGTTTGAAAGGCGTTTATTAAAGCGGCCAGGCAGAGGTCTTGCGTGTTTGAAAGAGCTTTGCATCATTAATACCTAGATAAGATGTCCAGGGAGGAACCTACAGCAGACTATTTCATTATTTAAAATGAGACCGGGCTGTGTAAACAGGAAAGAGGAGTGTCTCCCCGTGAATACCAATTGACCATTTACCAAGCGATGATAACTCACTGTGGGGGTGGAGACGCTTGCAGCCCCCTGGAAGGCTGTGAGGGCAAAACCTGTTTGTAGGCAAACAAACAAAACAAACAAAAAAAACCCGGTAGGGTTTTGTAGGTAGTTTTTTCCCCTCTCAAACCAGAATCATTTGTGCTCATCTGCAACAGTCTGCTTTCAGTCTAGATCGACACTAGATCCTGCAATCAAGGGTAGTTGTCAATATAGAGTTGTTATTCAAATCAGTGCTGCAACTTCCATTTGGAATACAGTGGTACCTCGGGTTACATACGCTTCAGGTTACAGACTCCGCTAACCCAGAAATAGTGCTTCATGTTAAGAACTTTGCTTCAGGATAAGAACAGAAATCGTGCTCCGGCGGCGCGGCGGCAGCAGGAGGCCCCATTAGCTAAAGTGGTGCTTCAGGTCAAGAACAGTTTCAGGTTAAGATAGACCTCCGGAACGAATTAAGTACTTAACCTGAGGTACCACTGTACCGGGTACTGTTCTGCTCTCCTTCCCTCAAAAAGGATGTTGTCGAGTTGGGAAGCATTCAGAAAAGGCTGGCCAAAATGATCCAAGCTGGTTATTATTTCATTCATTTGTCATGAACATGAACATGAAATTTATTACGGTCAGAGACCAGTTTGAGAAACACAAATGGAACTACAATCCCAATAGCAAAACAAACATGTAAAACAATATACAACAATAGGTTTTAAGTTTAAAAGTGTGATAGGCATATAAACACATAAAAACTTTAAAATAGACTACCTTAGAGAAATGACCCAAAGTCACCCGTGGGTCCGGGTTTGGGAATTTTCTTAACAAACTAGATTGAATTGAGGGATGGTCTCCTCCTACCGATCTGTGCGCAGAATCTGGCGACAATCGGGGTCGTCTTGTGGTCTTTGCCTAACAGGAGAAGATCAAATTTTTGCTTTACCGGGAGGAATTTGTAATGAAATAAATTGACAACTGCTGTTTTCGGAGGAGAATCATCGCAGTGAATAATCTATGTGTGCAGAAACGAATCTGTTGTGCAAAGGTGATGTTTATACTCGCTGTTCCACCTACTTTGCCTCTGGCCTTTCCCACCACTGGTACATGGCCTCCAAAGAGTTGCCCAGAAGGGACAATAGACCTGATAGCTCAGTTGGTTAGAGCGTGGTGCTGATAACACCAAGATCACAGGTTTGATCCCCATAAGCGACAGCTGCATATTCCTGCATTTCAGGGGGTTGGGCTGGATGATCTTCAGAGTCTCTTCCAATTCTATGATTCTATGATAAGTACATGGACTAATGTTTGGACTCTGAATAAAACAGTTTCCTGTATTTCTCCTTCATAATGCAGACCCAATTTGCTGGATTGGGCAACCCATGCATTAACGTTGGCTATTTTTTATTATTATTAAAAAAAAAACCAAAAAACCCCACACAGAAACCTTTACATTATTTAGCCAATATTTACTGGATTACTCACATCCAAGCAGGTTATTATTTCATTCATTTGTAATGAAACAAATTGACGCCTGCTGTTTCCAGAGAGGAATCATCGCAGTGAATATTCTCTGTGTGATTACAAATGTAGACAAGATGATTAATGCATCTTTTTTTCAGATGCTAAAAGTGGTTCATCAAGACCACTGCCCTCGATTCATTAAAGGGGTCGTTTTGCATAGACGGGCTAATCCTGATTTACAAAATCAGCCAAGGTTGCCATGGTCAGATGGGAGGTCTAGGCTGGGTAGTAGAGAGCCAGTGTGGTGTAGTGGTTAAGAGCAGTAGTTTTGTAATCTGGTGAATCGGGTTCACTTCCCCGCTCCTCCACATGCAGCTGCTGGGTGACCTTGGGCCAGTCACACTTCTCTGAAGTCTCTCAGCCCCACTCACCTCACAGAGTGTTTGTTGTGAGGGAGGAAGGGAAAGGAGAATGTTAGCCGCTTTGAGACTCCTGAAGGGGAGTGAAAGGCGGGATATCAAATCCAAACTCTTCTTTCTCTTCTTCTTCTAACTGCAGCTGCCTAGAAACTCCCAACTCACTCATTAGAGTGGTGCTTTTGGGCAAATTGATTCCAGCAATACAACATTGATGGTATAAAGTGATGAATTAGTGATGGATTCATACTGGACCAGCCACACATGATTCCACTTTAATCATTGTTCTGTGATGGTTCCCCGGCATTACTTCATTGTTGCACTGTGCCACAGTGCAATGAAATAATACAAGAAACCACCTTGAAATTTGTGGTGTAAAAAGTTGCAGAATTTCAGGAGGCGGTTGTGCGACACGCACTGATTTGGAACCAAAGCATTAGAACGTAAGAAGAGTCTGCTGGATCAAGCCATTGGCCGCTCGAGTTCAGCATCCTCTTCTTGCAGTGGCCAATCAGCTGCCTGTGGGAAACCCCCAAAGCTGTTTGTCTGCCCTTAAACTTTTCCAGGTTCAAACAGGATTAAAAGGAGAACCAAGTTTATGATGGCCCCAAGACCATCATGAGCACAAACCTGTAGGCATGCATAATAAAAAATGGTATCTCGGCCCAGTATACCTGAAGGAGCGTCTCCACCCCCATCCAAGGGCCTTCTGGAGCATAGCTGTCAACGTTTCCCTTTTTGTAAGGGAAATTCTCTTATTTCGAATAGGATTCCTCGTAAGAAAAGGGAAAAGTTGACAGCTATGTTCTGGAGGTTTCCTCCCTGTGAGAAGTGAGGTTAAAGGGAACCAGGCAGAGGGCCTTCTCAGTAGTGGCGCTTGCCCTGTGGAACGCCCTCCCTTCAGATGTCAAGGGAATAAACAACTACAGTGGTACCTCGGGTTAAGTACTTAATTCGTTCTGGAGGTCCGTTCTTAACCTGAAACTGTTCTTAACCTGAAGCAACACTTTAGCTAATGGGGCCTCCTGCTGCCGCCGCGCCGCCAAAGCACGATTACTGTTCTCATCCTGAAACAAAGTTCTTAACCTGAAGCACTATTTCTGGGTTAGCGGAGTCTGTAACCTGAAGCGTATGTGTCAGAGCTGCTTCCAGATCCTAGCTCACAGAGGATCACGCTAGCCAGCGATCATTAAACAAAAGTCTTTATTGAGTTACAGTTTCCATTCTCAAGCTGCTGCGTGCAACTCTACGTCTCATGCTTAGACCGGCGAAGCTCCGTCTGAGTCTCCGCCCCTTGTACACCAACTTAATATCCTAGCCCTGCTCCACCTTTTCCGCCTGACTGTTCTTCTCTGGGTCCCTCTGCCCCCCGGGGTCTCTTCCTTCCGGGATTCCTCTGACGCTGACGCTGACTCCCCTGACTCTTCTCCCTCCTTTCGGCGGGCTTTGGGACCTGGCTCCCTTCCGGGCTGCCTACTGCGCCACCTTCCTGTGCATTTGAACTTGGCGCGCGCGCCCAACCTTCCACCTTCCGTCTGACCGTTTCTTCGCTCCCCGATGGAGGTGTGGCCACTCCTGACTCGTGCCCTCCCCCCTGTTGTGAGTTGCCAGCGCTTGATCCCTGGTGCCCTTCCTCTTCCCTGCTCTCTGGCGGTGACGTTGGTCCCGATTTCCAACTGCTCCCCTCTGAGTCCCCTCTGGCTCTATCTTCCTGGGGTGTCCCCTAGGCTCCCCCTTGCCCTGGCCACTGGTGCTCCTTTCTGTGAATCTTCTGATTCACTGGAAAGACTCGGAGATCTCGGGTCGTCGTCATCACTCATCTTTTCTTCTGCCTCCTCCCCTCGCTCTCTGTTTCCTCCCTTGCCCTTGCCTCTGCTCCTGAACCCCTGACATCCATCCCCCTCGAAGCCCCCTCTTCCCCCTCCCCTCCTTCCGGTGCGGGATCTGGGTGCTGCCGTGTCAGGGGACGAATGTCGGATACAGTTCGCTTCCCGTGGCGGGCCGCCATCTGAAGTCTTCCGGTTCTTCCTCCCTGCTCTCGTTGACGACGGTCACCTCCGCTTCCATCTCTGTGCCGCCGTGCTCGAAACCCGGGTCGTCCCCGAAAAGTCCATGTCCGTCTCTCCTCGTTGCCTTCTGGAGACGTTGCTCGTCCTGGACCCTCCAGCCACCTTCTACGGAACTGCTCCTCTGGTCGATCATCCCACCAATACGAGGGTTCTGAAGCAGATCCTGAGGGTGACCCCTCCGGGGAACGGGCGTCTCGTGTCGGTTCCTCGTCCGAGTCGAACCCCGGAACGTGCTGGCTGAAAGCGTGGGCGTGAAAAGCCAGTCGTCGAAAAGTCTGCTGGCATTGGCCTATGTGGGAAGAGGGCATGAAACTCTTCTTTGAGCAGAGGTTCGTCTAAAGCGTAGCCCGGCACCCAGCTGTTGGCACTGGCCGGGGTGCCCTCCTTGGCGAGAAGGTATTCTACCCCCTCTCCCCCCATCTGGAGTCCAAAATCTCCGTGACTTCGTTGATGCGCTCCTCCCGTGCCACTCCCCCCTGCCCGGTTCTCTCTCGGAGCGGACCCGGTGCCGTTCCTGGTTCCTGAAACCTGTGAGGTGCCTTGTAGGGAGTGAGCACCGATCTGTGGAACACCGGATGCATTCTGGAACCCTCCGGAAGAGCCAGCCTGAAAGCCACCGGGTTGACCTGTTCTTCGACTTGGTAGGGCCCCAGTTGTTTATGCCCTAGTTTCTTCTTCGCCAACGACCTGGCCGGCACTGCGTGGGCTGCTAACCAGACCCAGTCTCCCACATGGATCTCTTCGCCAACCCTTCTGTGTTTGTCCGCTTGTACCTTGTATGCGTGTTTAGCCAGCTCCAGGTGCCGCCGCAGCTGATCGTGGACCTCCTGCAACTCCGACGCGAATGCATCTGCTGTCTGCGGCTCCCCTCCCCATTCTTTCCAGTCCCGGGAAGGTTCTGGGGTGCCTCCCGTTGTTGGCGAAGAACGGCGTGACCCCCGTGGACACGTGCTTCGTGTTGTTGTAGGCAAACTCGGCGAGAGGCAGGTAATCCACCCACGTCGCAGGCTGTTGATTCGCATAACATCTCAGGTACTGCTGCATGATGGCATTGACCCGCTCCGCTTGCCCATTGGTCTGCGGGTGTCTAGCCGACGCCAGGTTGATCTTGACGTTCAGGAAGCCCATCAGCCTCTGCCAGAAGTTCGAGATGAACTGTCGCCCTCGGTCGGACAGAATAGACCGCGGCAGACCGTGAACCTTGAACACGTGGTCTATGAACAGTTTGGCGGTTTGTTCCGCCGTGGCCACCTTCGCACACGGAATGAAATGTGCCATCTTGGAGAACAAGTCCACCACCACCAGCACAGCCGTCTTGCCCCTCGAGCTGGGCAGATCCGTGACAAAGTCCAGGGCCACTCTCTCCCATGGTTCGAACGGAGTTTGCAGCGGTTCCAGCAGTCCGGCCGGCGGTCTGTGCACTGGTTTGGCCCTCTGGCAGGTGTCACACCTCGCCACGTAGTCCGCGACTTCCCCTCTCATTCCTGGCCACCAGAAGTCTCTGGCTACTAATTCCACCGTTTTCTCCTTGCCAAAGTGCCCGGCAGTGGGCGCGTCGTGCAGCTGCTGCAGTACCTTGGCGCGAAGTTCGTCTCCCGGCACGTAGATGGCCCCTTTACGGATGAGCAAACCATCTCGCAGCTGGAACTCGTCGGTCGCTGCCGTGCCCCTGTGCGCCTCTGCCATCTTTGCTTGCGCGAAGGAGTCATCCTGCAACGCTCGTCGCACCGCCTCCAGGTCAACTGTCGCCGCCGTGCACGCCCACACTGTCGGTGCGAAGATGTGCATGGCGGCCGCTGGCGTTGCCTCCTCCAAATACTGTGGCTTACGGGAGAGAGCATCCGCCATGATGTTGGTGTCCCCGGGACATACTCTATTCGGAAGTCGAAATTCGCAAAGAACTCAGCCCAACGTATCTGCCTCTGGTTCAGGAACTGTGCCGTGCGCCAGTGCTCTAGATTCTTGTGGTCCGTGCAGACCTGCACCGTGTGCTTGGCGCCGATCAGGAAGTGCCTCCACGCTTTGAACGCTGCATGAATGGCCAGCAACTCCCTGTCCCAGATGGTGTAGTTCTGTTCGGACTTGCTGAGCTTCCTTGAGTAAAACGCTCCCGGCCTCCAAACCCCCTGCGGGTCCTTCTGCAGCAGGACTGCTCCCACGGCTCTGTCCGAAGCGTCTGTCTCCACCCTCATCGGCCTGCTGGGGTTGACATGAAGCAGTTGCTCTTCCGACGCGAAGAGACGCTTGAGTGCCTGAAAGGACTGCTCCGCCTGCTCTGTCCAGATGAACTTCTTTTCTTGGAGCTGAGCGTGTCCGTGATGGCCGCTGTCTGCATGGCAAAGCCTTTGATAAACTTGCGATAGAAGTTCGCAAAGCCGACAAACCGTTGGACCTCCTTCCGGTTGCGTGGGCTTTTCCAATCCAACACTGCTCGGACCTTGGTGCTGTCCATGGCGAGCCCTTTATCAGACAACTTGTAGCCCAGGAAATCCACCTCCGTCACGTCGAATTGGCACTTCTCCAGCTTGGCGTAAAGCCTATGTTGCTGTAGCCTGCTCAGCACTTCTTTGACGTGCCTGTCATGCTCCTGCTGCGATTCCGAAAAGATCAGGATGTCATCCAAGAAACAGACGCACGTCTTGTAGAGGAGCCCCGCCAACACGTGATGCATGAAAGCTTGAAAAACGTGGGAACCATTTTGCAATCCAAAAGGCATAACTCTATATTCGTAGGTGCCCAGGGGCGTGAACATGGCTGTCTTCCACTCATCTCCTTCCCGCATGCGAATGAGGTTGTACGCCCCTCGCAGGTCCAACTTGGTGAACACGCTGCCCTTCCGTACCTTCGCGAGGAGGTCGTCGATTCGGGGCATGGGGAAGTCCGATGGCTTGGTCACGCTGTTCAAAATGCGATAGTCCACTACAAGTCTTTTTTGGGGCGTGTCCCTCTTCTTAACAAAGAATACCGGACTGCCCCCCGCTGCCGTGGACTCTCGGATGAAACCGCGCTCCAAATTATGATCTATGAACTCTTTGAGTTCCTGCAGTTCGTCCTCAGACATGGAATACAACTTCCCTTTGGGCAGCGCCGCCCCCGGCAGCAGGTCAATTTTGCAGTCATATGGTCTGTGGGGGGGTAGCCTGTCTGCCTCCTTCTCACAGAAAACCTCCAAAATGCTGCGTACTTGTGGGGAACCGCTTGCAGCGTGCCGAGCTGCAGCTGTGACTCCTCTTCCTCTCCTTCCTGCCGGGGCACGATGCAGTGTTCAGCGCAAAAGGAAGAGCCGAAGGTCAGCTGCCTCTGGTACCAAGCCAGCGTCGGGCTGTGCTTGTCCAGCCAACTCATGCCCAATACAATGGGCGTGTCCGATAGTTGAGTGACATTGAAGCTGATGATTTCCCTGTGATTCCCAAGTCTCATCACCATTGGTGGCGTCTGCTTCACCACTTGCCCCCCTAGCAGCTCCCTGCCATCCACCGTGACAACCTGCAGGGGCAGCGTGGCAGGCAGCAACTGTATAGCGTGCCGGTCGACAAAGTCCTGCCCTATAAAGTCCGCATTGCTTCCGGAGTCAATGGTGATTGGCACGTCCATGGTGATGCCATTGGGCAGCTGGAGCGACGCGGTGAGCCTCACTACTGGTTTGGGCGGGAGGGGGTCCATGGGCTGTAAAATCTCTGGGGACTGCTTCACTGACACGTCTGGCTGGGCCCCAGTGCCTCTTTCTCCAGCCAGACTCCGTCGTTTCCCTGCCGTGGTTCTCCTTGCTGCGTTGCTGCAGTTACCATTGCTGAGGCTGCAGTGTGCTTGTGGAGCCTCTGGGGACACTCTTTCGCCATATGCTGTGGATCATCGCAGATGTAACACTTCCTGTTCCCTCTAGGAGGCTTCGCTTTCACTGCTGCCGGTGCTAGGGCTCTGGCTGCTGACTGAGCCCTTGCACCTCCAACCTCCATAGGTTCCGCTCCTCCTCCTGGCGGAGGCGTGGATTGCGCACGCGCTGCTTCTCTGGGAAGGAAGGAGGAGCCCCTGGCTGGTTCGCGCCCTCCACGCCCTTCGTCCCTGCTCCACGGACGTTCTTCCAGCCGCACCCCCACCGCCAGCGCCCTCTGAACGATCTCCTGCGTGGTCCGGGGTCTCTCCCCTCTCGCAATTTCATCTTTAACCGAGCCGTGCAATCCCTCCCAAAACAGGTCTCTTACAGGAGCCGAATCTCTGTCCCATTCCAGAGCACTGACCAAAGCGAAAAGCGGGCATGGTACTGCCTTACGCTGGCCCTCCCTTGCTTCAGTCCATGTATCTGCTGCCGAGCAAGATCCACGTCAATGCTTGATAAAAAGCACCCATCCATCGCTTTAATAAAGGCATCCGCATTTTGGAGCGCCGGATCCTTATCTCTCCACAAATTGCGCAGCCATGCTTTAGCATCTCCATGCAAATGGGACATGATGAATCCCACCTTCTCTTGCTCATCTCTAAAGTCTTTGTTCAGCAGTTGCAGTGCACACATTACATCTGCTCTAAAGTTGGGGTACTGTTGCAAATTCCCATCGAAGTGAGAGACCAGACCGCCTGTTCGTCTCCCCAACCCAATCCCCTCCGGTTTGGGTGTCAGTTGCCCTTGCTTCGTAAGCACTTCCAACCTGACCTGGAGATCCCTGTAGGCGGCAGCTGCGTCCTCCTCTCTCTTCCTGGATGCAAGAGCCTCGGCATTCAGTCGTGACACTGCTTCTCTGAGTTCCGCTATCTGCTGTTCGGCCGTCATATTGTCTGCCGTTCGTGAGCTCGCTAGTAGGCACCCGCTTTCTCTCCTCTCCGCGAGGCCGTAGATGCCCACAATTTAGGAGACGGAGCTTACTGTCAGAGCTGCTTCCAGATCCTAGCTCACAGAGGATCACGCTAGCCAGCGATCATTAAACAAAAGTCTTTATTGAGTTACAGTTTCCATTCTCAAGCTGCTGCGTGCAACTCTACGTCTCATGCTTAGACCGGCGAAGCTCCGTCTGAGTCTCCGCCCCTTGTACACCAACTTAATATCCTAGCCCTGCTCCACCTTTTCCGCCTGACTGTTCTTCTCTGGGTCCCTCTGCCCCCCCGGGGTCTCTTCCTTCCGGGATTCCTCTGACGCTGACGCTGACTCCCCTGACTCTTCTCCCTCCTTTCGGCGGGCTTTGGGACCTGGCTCCCTTTCCGGGCTGCCTACTGCGCCACCTTCCTGTGCATTTGAACTTGCGCGCGCGCCCAACCTTCCACCTTCCGTCTGACCGTTTCTTCGCTCCCCGATGGAGGTGTGGCCACTCCTGACTCGTGCCCTCCCCCCTGTTGTGAGTTGCCAGCGCTTGATCCCTGGTGCCCTTCCTCTTCCCTGCTCTCTGGCGGTGACGTTGGTCCCGATTTCCAACTGCTCCCCTCTGAGTCCCCTCTGGCTCTATCTTCCTGGGGTGTCCCCCTAGGCTCCCCCCTTGCCCTGGCCACTGGTGCTCCTTTCTGTGAATCTTCTGATTCACTGGAAAGACTCGGAGATCTCGGGTCGTCGTCATCACTCATCTTTTCTTCTGCCTCCTCCCCCTCGCTCTCTGTTTCCTCCCTTGCCCTTGCCTCTGCTCCTGAACCCCTGACAGTATGTAACCTGAAGCATATGTAACCTGAGGTGCCACTGTACCTGACTTTTAGAAGACATCTGAAGGCAGCCCTGTTTAGGGAAGTTTTTAATGTTTGATGTTTTATTGTGTTTTTAATATTCTGTTGGGAGCCGCCCAGAGTAGCTGGGGAAACCCAGCCAGATGGACAGGGTAAAAATAATAAATTTATTATTATTATTATTATTATTATTATCTGGCAGGGGTCTCCCTCTGTTCACATTCAAACTGCAAAACTGGTCACACCCATTCTCTGACCCCCTCTCTAGGTCTCAGAGGAATTGCCTTCAAAAATTCTGAGAGCTCTTCTACAGTGGGAATAGACTACCTCAGAAGGTGGTGTTAGGGGTTCTTTAGCTGTGATTCCCACATTCCAGGGGTTTGGACTTGGTGTCCCTTCCAACTCTACTATTCTACGAGGCGCTCAGTCAGTAGAGCATGAGACTTTTACACTCAAGGTTGTGGGATCGAGCCCCAGGTTGGGCAAAAAATTCCTGCATTTCAGGGAGTTGGACTATATGACCCTAATGGTCCCTTCCAACTTAGCAATTCTATTAAAGAGGCATTTGAAAGCGTTTCCCAGCAATCAAGGCACCTTAGCATTCTTCCATTGAATTCCTGATTACTGAAGGAACAACACCTTTGGCTAAAGAACTGACAGACCCTCTCACAGCGATAAAGATGGCCGCCACATTGGTATTGCTCTTACACACAGCGGATGGGTGGATGATACGGCCTGGAATGGGTGCTGGTATTGACAAACGAGTTAACTGTTTGAAATTCACACCATGCAGGGCAGCTGGGTTTGTTACATTTATCAGCCACGTCTAATAATTACTTGCAGATGTAGCAGCACAAATTGCATATTCAGATGTAATCCTGACAACTCAAGTGACATGCATACCAAGACATTCTCCCTGAAGTAACTTGCAAATTGCATTAAATAATGAATACGTCAGATTACTTGGCATGCTACACACAAGCATATTTTTTTTGTATTTTGTATTGGGGGGGGTGAGTTGAACAGAGAAGGAAATCGGTGAGATTTTCTCAGATAAAAGGATTCTGGAGAATGATTATTCCTTCATTTATTGCTGTGCCCAGTTGGAAAATATCTTCATATCCACCAAGTTATACATCCAGCATCCCATTAATAGATTAGCAGGGCCAGCTCAAATCATTTTGCTGCTTGAGGCAGAGGACAAGATGACACACACTCAAACCACCTCCACATAAAGTATCTGAACAGGCTAGAATCTTATTTCAACAGCATACTTACCAACTTTTTCTGATTCAAAACTGGGATGCGCATCTTCTGGGCTGCATACCTGGGCAAGTTCCGTGACCTGTGCCTCTCTCTCACCCCCCAAAAAAAGTACTTGGGGGAGGGTGAGATCTCACGTAGTGCCCCCAAAACGCATGCTTTTGGTCACTGCGTAAGATCGTAGCCCCATAAAAAGTGCTTTCAGGCAAGGGGCAAGAGCACAGCACAAGAGTATGAGAAATTGCAGCACCCAAAACGGTCACCAAGCTATCACGAGGGGGGGGAATGGGATGTCCCCTTTCCCCCCTAGGCACTTGGAAGGTATGCAACAGAGATGTTGGGACAGCCTTCTGCACTGTAGCTAAAAAAACCCTGAGGAAAGGGTGATGGTTGCTGCATGACTCATTTTGCATTTTGCCGGCCCTGTAGATTAGGAAGCCCTAGATTTTAATAGTAAAAGGAAAGGAGGAAGGATTCTACATACTTTAGTACAGTGGTACCTCTGGATGCGAACGGGATCCGTTCCGGAGCCCCGTTCGCATCCTGAAGCGAACACAACCCACGTCTGCGCGTGCGCGGGTCACGATTTGCCGCTTCTGCACGTGCGCGTGACGTCATTTTGAGCATCTGCACATGCGCAAGTGGCAAAATCTGGAAGTAACACGCTCCGTTACTTCTGGGTCGCTGTGGAGTGCAACCCGAAAACGCTCAACCTGAACCTACTTCAACCCGAGGTATGACTGTATTACCTAGGTACACAGAATCTTTAAAAGTGTGCAAATTAAAGAAGTATTTAAAAAAACAAAAAACCTCACACAAACATGGACCTGTGAGCTTCCAGGTGGTTTAGAAAGATGTAGAGGAGTGAAAGCAATTGGAAGTCAGTCAGTGTGAGCTTGAAGAAGAAGAAGAAGAAGAAGAAGAAGAAGAGGAGGAGGAGGAGGAGTTTGGATTTGATATCCCGCTTTATCACTACCCTAAGGAGTATCAAAGTGGCTAACAATCTCTTTTCACTTCCTCCCCCACAACAAACACTCTGTGAGGTGAGTGAGGCTGAGAGACTTCAGAGAAGTGTGACTAGCCCAAGGTCACCCAGCAGCTGCATGTGGAGGAGTGGGGAAGCGAACCCGGTTCACCAGATTACAAGTCCGCTGCTCTTAACCACTACACCACACTGGCTCTCTAAATAAATATTCACTAGCAACAGCCTCCTGAATTCTTCTTAATGTTAAGAACAGGGCTAATGTTAAGAACCCAGCTATGACTTTCATATGACTGGCTACATCTTCCCGTTATTTTTATGGACTTGCATTGCGCTGTTATGTGGCACCATTCATTTTAGAAATGAAGAAGCACGTTCAGGAATTACTCTTCCTAGAATGTTAAGGGATAAAATGCATCCCTGAAGAATCTGCATCCGCCTTCCTTCAAACATTTGCTTGACTGGTAATTTATTTTACAGGCTTGGCTCTCATGAGGTGGGTAAGTTTGCAGAGCTCAAAAGCTGTCAGTAAAATTAGGGTTGCTCTCCTTGGTCTGTCTCTTCCTCACCCCACCCAAAAAAACCACCCTACATCTCTGCCTTGTCTCTTTCACGTTTCACTAAAAGCCCAATAAAGATTTTACTTTTGTAAACAGTTCCATTTGGGGCAAGCCACTCAGGAGAGATAAGCCGCTGCTTCCTCAAAAGGTCACAGCCTCCCACTCTCTTCATCCAACGTCCTCGAAATTTAAGTTTTATTTTGCTATTATTTAGAAAACTGCTTAACGAAACAAAGATCTCTGAGCCTTTATGTAAGATAACATAAAATAATTATCAACAATAGGCAGATAAAATCAGGGAGGGGGGTTGAAATGGAAACATTCCCAATATACAGAAAACCAAATTATTCCACAGCAGGCCTGAACAAACTGTGTCCGGGGCCTCTGGAAGTGTATGTAAGGTAAGGGCTCAAAGCATTCCGATATTGAATTTTAAATTGCATTCACAAGGGGTCAAAAAACAGTTCATTAATATTACAGAATAGCAGGGCTGCCCTACCATTAGGCAAAGTGAAGCACTTGCCTCAGGCTGCAGGAGCCTCAGGCCACAGGTGATGCACAGTGACAACAGCCCTTTGGCTGTTCCTCATAAGCTCCAGGACCATTCCTCTCCATTGGAGGACAGTGCTGTACTGTATATAGGATACAGAGCCTGCTCTGAACCCCCAAGGTAGCCTGCTGTCCTCAGGTGCTCTGGAGGCCCCTCTTCCAACACCAGGGTTGAAAAAAGAGTCAGCTGCCAGTCTAGTCAGCTTTGGTACACGGAACAGGGAGCAAACACCGTCTTTGCGCTGGGCCTGGGGGTAGCCCATGAAACACGGTCCAGAACCGGTCCAGACTCCAAAGGTTCCGCTGGGAGTCAGTCCAACAGGGCCAAGGCAGGACACGAGGCAGGAAACCAGGCAAGGACAGGCACAGGATCTAGCGTACAGCAACGTTGCTCCCACAACCTGGGGCAGGATCCGACAGCCTTTTATCTTTGTCTGGATAGCGGCCGGTCCTGATCCCCTGGTGACTCACCTCCCTGTTTCGCCCGAAGGCAAGCACTCCTCCTGCAAGTACTCAGGTCTCTCCTTCTCTCAGACTCTCAGTCTCTGCAGCTCGGGAGATGTCGGTGGGTTACTAGACCCAGGGGCCGCCTCAGCCTCCCCTGACACAACCGGTACTGGAGCAGCTGTAAGTGATAGCCCAGCTGAAGGGAATGGGGTAATCCTCGCATCTGGAGCCAGGGCAGGTTCAGGCCCCTGACTCGGCCCAGCTGGTGTTTGTTGCAGGGGAACCTGTGCAGACTGGGACTCTTCAGGATCAGGCCCCAGACTTGGTTCAGATGGTGTCTGAGGCAAAGGATCTGGTGCAGACTGAGTCTCCTCTGGTTCTGAGCCCGAGCCTGAGTCCCAGGCCATCGCAGTCTTGTACCCCTGCCTCAGCCGGTAAAATGCCTTGGGATGGCCCTGAAAAATGGGAGAAGTCCACGTTTCACAGTTCAGCCTTTTCAATCTCAACCTCGACTTTGTCTCCCTCTCTTTCCCACCCCACTCACTTGTGCCACCCTCACGACTCTCATCTGGCATTCTTGCAATGGTCAACAGGAAGTCCTGGCCATTCCCCTGGGATCACGCCAGGCGGTTTTAGCCAATAGTCAGTAGGTGGCGTTATCCCAGGGGCTTTAAAAACGGCAGTGTGATGCAAGCAGGAGCACTTGCTTCGCACTGCTGAACACCCGCCCACCCTCCCTAGTTTAGGTAGAGTTGCTTGGTCTTGCTTTGGTTTGGGTCACCTGTTTTAGAACAGGGTTTGGGTAGGAATTTTTTCCATTTGGCAGATTGGCTTTAGCCATTTGGTTTTCACCTACCCCTTAGCAAATCATCACAACTTGTAAGGTGGTGGTTAGGCATTGGCTCAGTTGGATTGTGGGGAGGGGAGGTGCGGCCATCACCTGCCCCTCCAGGAACTGGGTATTCCGTTAAAGGAATCTGGGGATCCTGGATCTCATCCGCTTGAGGGGCTAGGGCCATGCCACAACCACAGGAACTCCGGGGTGAGCTTAGGTTGGTCCTCATCGACCTTGCTCCCTCGTTTGGTTTACCCCATTGGACGATCACCCTGAGAGGTGGAGTCAGTTATAGTGGGGAGTCAATGCCTAAGCCAATACCGCTCACATGATTGTATTTCAATAAAGTTGTGGCCAAAATTTGCCCAAAAAGTTAAACTAATATAAGTGTCCATGTGTATTTATTTTGGGGGTGGGTCTTGGGGCCTCAAGACGCAAACAGGTATCAGGGTTTGAAATCCAGAACCAAGATGTGAGCCTCACAAATAGCACACTAAATGTGTTAAATATAACCTCTCAAGTTCTGAATATCAAATAGGAATGCTCTGCTATCAACAACAACAGCAGCAGCAGCAGCAACCACCGCTCCACATCAAAGCTGTGTATTGAGTGTCAACCAGCAAACGCTGAATTTCTGGTACTTGTTGTATATTGCTGCAATGGATTGTTCTGGAGCAATGAGCTGGATGGTGATAGGGTCATTTCTATCACTTAGGCATGGTTTTTAAAAAACAAAAACCTAGGTGCATTGTGTTCTGTACTCCAATCCCTCGTGGCATGTCTGAATGGAAGAGAGACTTGGCATCTAGCTTTACAAGTCGAGGACTAATAAAATAGCACTCTGTGATC